CAGGGAAAGTGGTGTCCTCCCTACTCCCCTTTGCCTTTTCCCAACCATTGGTCTCCTAACAATCTACCCTTTTAAAAAATCTATATCACTCTCTCATATCATCTTCTCCAGCACTTGACCCCCAAGTTTTCTTTCTCTCCACTCTTTCCCCTGATATCAGTCTTTGGTTCTCCCATCTCCCACCAATCACTTCGTTAATTCTCCTCACACTCTGACCTCAGGGTTCCTCAACTTGTCTACACTTTAAAAACATTTATTTCTACTCCACTGAAGTTGTCCACAAGTTCAGCTGTGCCAAGCTCCTAATTATCTCTCAAAAGTTTCCAAGATCTCAGCTCTACAATGCCTTTTCTCACTAGCCTCTCACCAAATTTGCTCTTCGTCTTCACTGTAACTACCTATCCCCCAACTAGACTCAGCCTCAAAGTCAATAAGCCACTCTGATTTAACTTTCTTCCCTACCAAAAAGACCTCAAGCATACTCTCCTACCAACCTTGATTCCCTTGGCCCATGGTCCACCCATCATGTCCACTAAAGTTAGCGTCCAGCCTTGAAGAAGACCACAGTATCTGCTTCCTACTAGTTCCTAAGAGTTACTCAAAATGACAACTGGGAAAGGTGAGTGATGGTACATTTTCTGAGAGTTCTAGTGCCAAGTGCTGTCCTGAATGCTCTATGTGCATTATCTTATGCACGAATTAACTCCACTACAGTGAGATGCTATCCAGTTATGTTCTACCCAGTTTTCTCTACAATCATTATGTCTATCTTTAATTGATCCTTTATTATATTCCTCATTGTGGCTATTTCAAAGATTTAACACTTCCCTGGAGTCCACAGCCCACTCCCAACTCCGAGACTACCTTGCTTTGTTTTTGGAAAAATAAAAGCCATTCGACATGAGTTTCTTCATAGTACCTCCTCTGCCTCCTCAAATTTTCTGAGTATGTTCATCTCACCTGCCTGCGCCTTTCCTGGCTTAGAGGTTCTTTTTCTCTAAGGTTAACCTTCCTTCTAGGCCCTTGATTCATCCCCTCTGCTTCCTCTATTTCCTCCTCTCTTTTCTGTCTTCAGTGTCTCCCTCTACGCAGATACTTGCCCTTCACCCGTCCTAGTTTCCTCCACTCTTTAAAAGCCTGGCTTCTTCTGTGCAGCCTCCTCAAACTATCGACTTCTCTTTCCCCTGGGGAAAGTACTAAAAGTGGACAGAACCCTCCTTGCCTTGGCAGGAATAGCAAGACTGTTTTCCCTGTAGGCTGTAGGTCTCATTCCTCTGTATCAGCACTGAAAACCAAACCAGTCACTCCAGCTGTGGGGACCAGGACTGTTTGGACCACTGAAGAGTCTTAACTTTGGGCAGAAAGCTGGAAGCTTTGTGTACTATCTGGAAGTACCTGACATTGCATCTGACAGGCTTTGAAGAGGAAGTAGGTCTTTTAACTAGTCTTTGTCTCTTAGTGTCTTGCAGTTTCTGTTTGAGTGCAGTGTGAACCAGGACAGGGAGGCAGCCGAATCTGGGTAAACCCTGACATACTTTTCCCCTTCCCAAATCTCCCTCAACCAATCCATCATTAAGTCCTGACAATGAGATTATTTTAATATCTTTGGCCATTTGTAATTGCTATGATCTGCTCTCTCGTCTCCCTGGCTTCAGTCTTGCTCTGCTCCATTCCATTGTCCATACTGCAAGCAGAACCACCTGCTGGAACACATCCCTGCTTGAAACTCTTCAGCAGCCCCCTGGTGCCTAAGGAACAAATCCAAGCTCCTGGGTCCATCATGACCAGGCCCCTGCTTATGTTTTCTACCCACTCCTACTTGTCCCATGTCAGGCTCCAGCCACAGCAACCAATTGTTCACCAAATTCCCCAAGCTCTCTCCAGCCCCTGTGCCTTTGCCCTTTGCTTGTTGCTCATTCTTTCCCTTCTACCTGGAATAACCCTCTTCCCCAACTATCTTCTTTTTTTTTATATAAAGATGACCGCTAAGGGGATCTTAACCCTTGACTTGGTGTTGTCGGCACCACGCTCTCCCAAGTGAGCGAACCGGCCATCCCTATATAGGGATCCAAACCCGTGGCCTTGGTGTTATCAGCACCGCACTCTCCCGAGTGAGCCATGGGCCAGCCTTCCCAACCATCATCTATTTGTTCTTCTGAACAAACAGTTCAAGGTTCTTCTTTCCACCAGTCCCAGGGGGTCTTCCACAACCATCCCAACCCCAGGTTGGCTTGGGTGCCTTTCCCAGGTGCTCTGGGAGGTACCTCGGGCATTCCTTTATCCAGGGACTGTGCATGCTGAGCTGTTCTCATCTGATCCTTGTCTGTGACACATACCAGACTATTAGCTCTTTATCAGGAACTGTATCTGATTTGCCTTTGTAGTCCCTCTGTTCAGCATAGGGCTTGGCATATACACACATAGAAATGTCTCTTGAATGAATAAATGAATAAATTAGATTTTGAATAAGATATAGAAATTGACATTTTTAACACTTGGTAGCTCAGTACCGTTTATTTTCATAATCTCATAAGTAAAAAGATAAATTTGCACAGATTAAGGGCAAGAGAGTGCTAAAAAGAAATAAAAGACTGAATTAAATCGACAGTGTATACTACTTCTACTACTATTACTCACATTTATTGAGGGTTAACTCTGTATTGAGCACTACCCTAAGCATTTTACATGTACTGACTTAACCCTCAAAAATAGTCCCCATTTTATAGAAGAAACTTTGAAACAAAAAAATTAAATAATGAGGGTCGGCCCGGTGGCGCACTGCTACAGTGTGCCGCTTGGGAGTGCGGTGGCGCTCCCGCCGAGGGTTCGGATCCCACATACAGACCGGTTCCCGCTCACTGGCTGAGCAAGGTGCAGGAGCAACACTGAGGGTTGCGATCCCGTGGCCGGTCACGAAAAAAGACAAAAAGGAAAAAAAAAAATTAAATAATGTATCCAGAAAATGGCTGAGCTGGGACCAAAAGCAGGCAGAGCCGGTGGTTTTAACCACGTCGTGCTGCCTGCCAGTGGCCGTCATTGTGCAGAAAGTGAGCTGCGGGTATTTGTTTCACTCATCTGTGCTCTCACCTCAATTTTTCTTTATTTTTTCCACCTCAACTTGAAAACTCACCACTTTAAATATATTGACTTATTGGCATCAAATGATATTTGTGAGTTTTTCCTGGTGGGCTTAAAAAACATCTGTGTAGCCAACTCCGTGCCAGGTGCCAAGAGGAAGCAGGAGTGCAGGATAGGTGGCAGGGTAGGTGGCAATTACTCGCGTTGTGTTTTCTTTGGAATTAATTTTCCTACCATCAAGGAAGTGGCTCTTTAAAGTTTCGATACCTATTTGTGAGGTCGTATTTGTTTAAATGACTGTTCAAAGAAACACAAACTCCCAAGTGAAACTGAAGATTACAAAGGCCCTGTGAGAAGTCTTTGCCAGCATAGCAGGCTTTTGACATCAAAGGAGTTCACAAAGATAAAGAGAAATTAGAGAAAGGGGACAAGAGCACCTGGCGTTGTGATTTTCTATGGTAAAAGGAGAAAAGTTTTTAAAAAGAAAACATGGATTTGGACAGCAACATTGGGCAAATGCAAAGAGCTGGAAAACTTGGCAAATTAAGTCTCAGAAATCATTCTGCAGCAGATCTCAGAACAGGGAGACAAGGAGGTGCTGGATCTGACTCACAGCATGTATATGCTGGGTTTGTTTTATGCTTGGAATATATGTTATTTTATTTCATCTTCATTTTTGGTGGTGGTGCCGTGGGACGGGGGGTTGGGGGGGGATAGTGGTTGGTGTATTGGAACAAAAGCAGAGGAAGAAGAGGGATTTCAGGTCCCTGGAGCTCAAATACAATTTCCTACTGCTTCAAAAAGGTACCAAGTCACAAGAATGTCTCTGCATTTCTCTACCCCATAGGCCAGCCATAGAAACAGAAATGGCAGTGGGGGAAAAAAGAAAGAATAGGAGAAAAATTGTTCTGAGCTGTCCAAAAGGGAACCTGGTGGTGGTGAAGAAAATCAGCAAAATACAGTCACCTTGAAACTACTGTGCCTCCAGCTCCAAGAGTTCTGATGCCAAAGTTTGGCTTTTTGATTTGTAAACAGTTTTCTACAGAATACGTGAATATTTCCAGAACCTGAGACTTATGATGTTTTATTTTTTCACCTCCAGTACTTTGAATGTTCTTTTAATAATAATGAACTAGAGCTTATCTGCTTCCTGACCAGTTTCATAAAACCAAATAATTGCTGAGCAGAGGAAGCAGATTTATTTGCATTTAATTTTTTGAAGAGAAATTCTGCCACCCTCTGGACAGAAAGCAAAGATTTATTTCTTAGAGATATTTCATAGAATTCTGTTCTAAGAATCTGAAAATAAACATAAAAAAAAAAAAATCTACCCTCTAAAAGAAGGGGTTAGGTAAAGTAAGAATCACAGTTGCTTTAGATGCCATAAACAATATCTGGGAAAAAATCATTTAAAAATACTAAATTGACTTTAAGGAATTTTTAAGTATAGAGGAAACAGTCTCAGAGCACATTAGAGAGAAAGCCTCCGGTGCTTAACTCATAATCCTTCCAAAGTCACTCAACAGCTATGTTTCTGCAACTGCCAAATAAAGATTTTCCACACAATCTCAGCCATGGCTGCTTTCATACAGTTACCTTTATTGGTTAAAAAAAATCCACATTAATACTAAATATAAATATATATTTGTTGATTTTTAACTAGAGCCAAGCAAACATGGGGACAGAGTGAGATTTCAGCCATCTGAGAGAAATTAGCCACAAGAGCACAAATGGGCAGTTCGTTTCTGAAGCTCTCCTGCTCTCAGCCACTGGGCTTGGAGTACTTAATACCATGTAAATAAAACTCAAAAATGCAGGGATGTGATAATTGCCAGTAATAACTCTGGGCAAATCAAAACACATGACATGTCATTTTTATAACTAACCAGAGGAAAAAAGCAGAAAGACACCCAGTACTATACCTGGTTTTAGTGACAGGGTTGAGATGCTTGTGGTCTTGCAGGATCTTAGCCAACTGTTTTTGCAAAAATAAAACCTTTCCGTGGGCTCCTTTAATAAACGGGTGGTCAAGGAGATGCGTGACGGAAGGCCGCTTTTCAAAATCCTTAATAAGACACCTGTTCCCAAAAAATCAATAAATGATCCAAAGTGCAATCTTAGACACTGTTCCCCTGGGAATACTGGAGAAAGGAGGCAAGAAAACGCACTTACAAAACCTGATCACAACCTTACATGGCTCTTTCTTTATTAACATGTACCAGGAAATAGAAAAAATATTTCTCTATTAGGCAACTTAATTAAAACACCAAAAATCTATTTTAATTTGTTTTAAGTAAATATTAAAAACATAATCAATTCTTACCATCAATTTAATTTCAAGTACTCAAAACACTGAAAAACTAGATTGGTCAGATAATTTTCTACCTGAATTTTCATTACAGAAAAATGTTTTCAGTGGAGTCAAGTTGATTAGTCTACATACTTTATTTTAGAAACATATAGAATTAAATACCATCACCTCAATTAAATCCTAATATTTCAAATGTCCTTTATTTGGTGGTGGGGAAAATGCATTTCGGAGTTTTCAAGGAAAGAAATGAATCATAAAAAAAAAATTCACGGAGAAAGTTCAGGAGCTTGATTTCTAATGTCTTCTTCTGAAGAAGAAAAACCTCAGAACAGTAAGCGACTACAATGTAATTGGGATGGAATGATGCAAACAGGGAACAAAAAGTCCATTCAAAATGATAAAAATCGGGTTGCATTTAAACTTCTCTGTGGTTAACTAGTTAAAACCGCACCAGTGTAGACAGTTTCTGTTTCAATGCCCTTTTCAAAGAAAACAATGATTTAGTACATTTTGCTGTATGGTCTATGTTATTAAAGATGCTTTTGATACAAAGAAATTTCCAGTGAAATTGAATCTGAAGAACACCCCTCCAATTACCATTGCATTTCTGTTCTGATAGCTGCCCTTGGTGAGAGGAAGAAATTTTAACCTCCACCCTTTTAATCTATCAGTCTTTGGCCCACATTGAAGGCTTAAGATAAATACCGGATGCCATTCTGCCCACTCCAGGAAATAAACATCTAGTTTTCCCAGTAGCAGCATGCCAGCAACATCCAAACCACAACATACTTTAAATAATGAAATGCACTGACACATGGTAAAAAGTTCAGCCTTTCCTTGAACATTTTCTTCAAAACGTTTAAGCAGAGTTCCTAAAACAACCTCAGCCGTCAGATTTATAAAAAAGCTTTTAGCCTTTACAGTTTCACTTCAAAACACTTTCATATCCCTCACCTCCTAAAAATTTCCCAGTAAGTCCATTTTAGAACTGATTTAGGAGATTCCCCATTTTTTGGAACTGGACCTTTCAGCTCAAAAGCCAACAAGGACCTAGAGTATCTTCCTTCTGCTGCCTGCAGTACCAAAAATACCACCTCGGCTTTGCCATGGGAAGAAATCAATCATTTGACTTTTGTAGGTTCAGGGCCTTTTGTATAATCTATTATTTTTTCATCAAAAATAAAAAATCAGTGCACATGCTTTAAAAAGAATTTATGTCTTTACATCAGCAGTATTCTCTTGATTCCATGTATGTTTATTTGTATATGTAATTATTAAAGGAAAATAAATTCTAATAACTGTGTTTCCTGAAAAAAGAAGGAAGCCAAGAGGTAGTGACATGGTCAGTGACGCAGGTGTACGGCCCAATCCTCCTGGCTTGAGGGATGGTGTATGAAGACTCCTAAAATAAAAACAGTCCTGGTGTCCTCTGAGAGTTCCTACTGAAGACAAACTTGGTGGTTTTGCACACCTCCTGGGACCTCAGAGGGAATGGGTTGGATGGGAGTCCAGGAACTGCTGGATCCCACAGCTTTGCCTGCTCAGTGATCTTGGGCAGGTCATGTCATGCCTATTTCTCATCACCAAGCACTCATACTCATACTGAAGTTTTTCCCCAAATATGGGGAAAGAGATCTCTTGCATCCCCACATAACACTCCCCCCCCCCTTTTTTGCTTTCTTCCTGCATTAGTTGTTGAAGCTTTATCTGACTACCAGTAGGTACTCACTGAAAAAAGAGCAGGAGGACCAGGGCCACACTCAACCATCTGCTGACTAGTGCCAGACTTCAAATGAGGAAACCTGGGGGCTGTGACTGAAGGTGGGTCATGTGGCAATAAATAAAATATTCATAGCACGTGAAGGGGAGAGTGGGCTGGAGCTGCTTCTGTTTTTCTCCTTGGGGATAGGTGCCTGGTAACAGTGTTCCAGGTGAAGCCTGAAAACAAGGCCCTTTGGATACTTCAGTCAGTAAAACTCCTTGAATTGGATTTGAGAGAGACCGGAATATCCATACTCCATCCAGCCTTATGAAAATAGGTCTCTACTGAAGTCTAGAGATGCAATTAAAGGTGGTATATCTTGTTTCACAATCTTAGCAACCACTGGAGAAGCAAGGCTTCCAACAAGCTTGCAAGATCATTTGGTATGTCAGAGAGGGTCTCTCTCTAGATCACAGAGGGAATAAGAGGAAATGAGTGAATAATGAAGTGAGAGAATGAGATGAGAAAGAAACTAACAAGTGAATCTGTTGTCTCTTGAACAGATTTTTGTCTCCAAAAAATGAAGGTGCTGGGCATTCTTCTCTCTGGAAGCAATGATCAAGAGGACTTGTCTGTTCTCTCCGTAAGTCTGGCGTGGGTTGAATGTCATAACACAGGATTAGCAAAACTGGAACAGAGCGTATATGGGAAGAATGCTAAGCAGAGTTGTGACATCCAACTGCTTTGGAGGATTTTTAGGGGAAAGGCATAAAGACCTTGAGGATATATCCTTATTATAAAACATTCCTGTATAGTTTTTTTCTCCTGGGGAACAAAGAACCTGTCTGAAATGATATTATTATTTTACTGATAAAGAGAAGAAAGTTCTCCCTTAGGAGCACACATGGCTGAAAGTCACGTTTTACTAGATATCAAGGTACTAGCATAATTTCATTTACTCAGCAAACATTTATTACACAGCACCAGAATTAGCCAAAATAAATTAATTCATAGTAAACTATGACCCTTTTTCTCAAGGATCTACAAATTTAATTGGAAAGACAGAAGGACAAAAGAAAGATAGGAAACAGCAAAAGCCAGTTATATATTTAGACTAAGAAGTAGTAACACAAAAGCACAGGGTTTCAGAGTCACAGGGACCAAGGTTTTCTATTTTAACTCTTTCTTTAAGAGCTGAGGAAACTGAGGTCAAGTCCTGGTAGTGATGAGGCCAATCCCCCAATGCCCACAGGAGAACCCTTCCTGTTCTGCTCCAACTTGTACAGAGGCCACAGCTATAACACGCTGGGAGGGGTGGGGGAGAAGGAACTCTCCTCAGAGAAGACTTCCCAGATCTGGTAAGAATTGAGCCCAGTCTTGAGAGAAGTTTTGAAACTAAATTGAACTAGATGGGAGAAGAGGTGGGAGGCATCTCAAGGCTGGAGAACTGGATCGGCAACTCAAGAAGAAGGATGGGGCAAGCTGGGTGGCCAGCACTCCGGAGGCCACCAGAACAGTCACCCTCACCTCCTAAGCAGCCTCTTTAGAACACTTATGAACAATTATTGGCTTTAGTCACTCTACCAACTTTGACTAGGATATAATCATTATTGGTTAAGACTAGCAATTTAGCGTCCAACCCTCTTACTATTTAAATATGTCAGCTTGTCACTCCATCTTACTCTCCTTGCAGGCAGGGATTCAGTGGATGAAGATAGAATTGACTGTGGGGTCCTTAGAGCTCCTGACAGCTTCCATGTCCTTTATTAAAGCAAGATAGAATCCTCTAGCCTGATTTGGAGAACAAATATGTAAAGCTAAGCAGGCTCTAATATACTTATTCATTTCGGGATTGCTTATTAAACCATAAATTGCAAATTCCAGATGCAGAATATCTTCTTCCAGCCAGGAACTGGGCAGTTTTTACAAAAGGATACATAAAATGTTGAGCTCTTACGGGAAATGGGGGCCAGCCAATGTGAAGTGAGTTGGGTGAAGCACTAGACCCATAAAGCATTCCATCAAAAAAAGAAGCTAGTTTCCTGGTCAGAGAAGTTTCGGAAACATTGGTGCTTCTATAAACCAAGTAAGTTTGGAGTTTCATAATGCACACGAGCATATTCAAGGTTCTTACAAGTACTGGGGTAAAGAAAATAGCTTAATTTCGTTTAAGTTCATGTTTCCAAACTTACTTGGCTACAGACGTGTTTTTGTATCAATGGGCCCACAAAGGACATCCTTGCAAGCTCCATTGTAAGCAGTTAATACTATGTTTCTGGAATGGGTGGCAGAGCACTCCTCTCAGCAGACTGAGGGGAGACTCGCCGGGGCCCCTAATTATCGCTGTATCTGAGACAACTGTGGACTATTGTTTCTGCAGAAGACAGCACCTCAAACTGCCAAGTGCAATCCCAACCTCAGTGCTTTCCAGAGTCTTTTACTGTGGAAAAAAGAAATTAAACAAGGACTATGTGTAGGGAAAGTACTTTCCCCTCCACAAATTATAATTCTTTCTTTCATGCTTGAATTTTTAATCTTATGTTTCTTTTTTAAATTTGGATTTAGATGTGGTTTGTCTGTGTTAAGAAGCAAAACAACAGAGTAAATAATTTATTTACACCATGAGACCCTGGATTTACAAGGTGGGTGGTTTGGATATGATAGGAAAATCCACCAAAAGAAAAAGGAAGCAAATTTCAGCCTTGAAGGAAATCAATCCATTACCTAATTTGAAATTCTAGTATCTTCCATCATGCTTTCTTGGCTGAAGATTAATCCTCAGAATTCATTAGTGTCACCACATTAAACACAAGTCGTTGAAGCCATTTACAGCAATCTCCCAGCCTGTCTTCTGCCAAAAACAGGCAAAAATGGAGACATTTCTTAACAAGAAGCATGGCCAGGCTCTGGAGCCTGTGGCACCTCTGCACTCTCTGCTCCCAGACAATTATGCTGTCGAGACAGAGTCACTCTGTTGCTGTAATTGCCACTTCATAACCAAAAAACCAGATGCCTGCAAGGGGGAGCTATTTATCAAAAGTCATAAACTGGTGTTTACCGATGAA